CTTTCGAAGCCGTGAGAGCTGCTGAGGTGGATTCAGCAAGGCCAGAGGATATAATTAACATATAACTATCAGGATTACCATGTGCTAGCAATGAACACTCTGAAGACGGAATCAAGAAACCAATACCTTCTGGGCGTGATGGCACACATCTCTAAGCCCTGTATCTGAGAGGCAGAGGCAGAGGCAGGCCATCTTAGTCAACTTCCAGGCTCGCCACAGTCACACAGTGAGACCTTATCTAAAAAAAAGAGGGGGTGGGGATTCCATTTACAATAGCAGCAGCAGAGGTAGGCGGATCTCTGAGCTAGAGGCTAGCCCAGTCTACAGCGCAAGTTCCAGAACAACAGAGATTTACAGAGAAACCCTGTCTCAAGAAAACAAAGAAACAAAAACAGGAATAAATTAAACTGAGGAAGTGCGCACAGAAAGGTAGGACTCTCTGTCTAAGAAGCGAATGGAAAGATGGCCCACGTTCACGGTTAGAACACGTGGTACAAATGGGAAGATGGCCCACGTTCACGGTTAGAACACGTGGTACAAATGGGAAGATGGCCCACGTTCATGATTGGAACACGTGGTACAAATGGGAAGATGGCCCGTGTTCATGGTTGGAACACTTAGTATTGTTAAGACAGTAGTATTATCTTAATTGATTTATAGATTTGATGAGATCCATACCATGCCAAAATGTTAAGTACCAGCAGCTGCATGTGGCAGTGATTCCTGAAATCCTAACACTCCTCAGGCCGAGTCAAGAGTGAGGATGGAGTTCAACATTGGCCTGGACTACACAGAAAGTTCAAGTCCATCCTAGGCTCGACAGACACTGTAAAAAAGTTTCTTTCTTTTTTTTTTTTTTTACAAATAAAAATCCCATTTGTCTTTCATGAAGAGAAAATGATACATGGGGCCAATGTGACTGCTTCGAATGTAGAAGTGCTTCCCTTGAGGGCTGGACAACCCGAGTTTCACGCCAAGATCCCACAGTGGAAAGGGAACTGAGTCCCAAGGATCCCGCCCCCCGAATATTAAATTTAAAAAGAAGAAAGTGATACAACTTTCTTCTATTTCATATAGAAATACAAGAGACTAAGAACAGGTGAAGAGGGCTTTTGTTTTGTTTTGTTTTTCGAGACAGGGTTTCTCTGTATAACAAAAAGTCTTAGCTATCCTGGAACTAGATCTTGTAGACCAGGCTAGCCTTCAACTCATGGAGATTCACCTGCCTCTGCCTCCCGAGTGCTAGGCTTAAAGGTGTGCGTCTCCACTGCCCGGCTGAAGAGTTTTGAAAAGAAAATTTCCTGTTTCTTGATTTCCAAACTTCCTAAAAGCTGTTCCTTCTGTACGGTTCTGCCATAGGAATCGCTGGAAATAAAGCCATAAAATAAACAGTTGGCTTGCATCAGGATTCAGGGTTTCACACTGGGAATATGACTTTTTCCCTATGGAAGTCAAATTCTCTTGCTGACTGGGTCAGATAGGAAGAAAACAGCAAATCTCATCAGAGTGACAAATCCAAATATGGAAGACAGACAAAAACGTACACTTAATAACTCATCAAACCTCAGTATACCAAATAAATCTGTTACTATGCTTCCTGCACTGGCTGGTTTTGTGTCAACTTGACACAAGCTGGAGTTAGCAGAGAGGAAGGAGGCTCAGTTGAGGAACTGCCTCCGTGAGATCCAGCGGTAAGGCATTTTCTCAATTCATGATCAATTGGGGAGGTCCCAGTCCACTGTGGGTGATACCATCCCTGGGCTGGTGGACAAGAGCTCTATACGAATGCAGGCTGTGCAAGCCAGGGAAAGCAAGGCAGTAAGCAATACTTCTCCACGGCCTCTGCATCAGCTCCTGCCTCCAGGAGCAGCTTGAGCTCCTGTCCTGACTTCCTTTGGTGATGAACAGCAATGTGTGAGCTGACTAAACCCTTTCCTCCCCAACTTGCTTTTTGATCATGGGGTTTTGGTGCAGCAATAGAAACACTAACTAAGACACGCATCCCTTCTTATAAATAAATAGAGCACTTTAACATCCACAGCACACAAATGCCTCTACTCTGTCATGGGCAGAACCGTGGGCATTAACAGCAAAGCCAATAACTAAAGTCTAAGAAAAGGAATCTCCCTATGGCAAAATACCAGGGAGTTCTAGCTTTAATGGAATGGGCATAAGTGAGGCTACCAGAGTCCTCCCTCAGATGTAATGACAGAGTCAGATTTGCAGTGAAAGTGGAATAATAGTCCATCTAGCTTCTACCCACCAATATCGCTTATGTTTTGACTTGGATTATTGGATTCATGATGATATTTTTTTGGGGGGGTTTTCGAGACAGGGTTTCTCCATAGCTTTTGGCTCCTGTCCTGGAACTAGCTCTTGTAGACCAGGCTGGCCTCGAACTCCCAGAGATCCGCCTGCCTCTGCCTCCCGAGTGCTGGGATTAAAGGCGTGCGCCACCACCGCCCAACGTTCATGATGATATTTTTAAATTCCCACCAGAGCTACTAAATTAAATTTGAGTATAAGAAATAGGTGCGATGCATGTCTGTAAATCCCAGCATTCGGGAGGCTGAAGCAGCAGGATTGTTACCCAGATGAGGCTAGCCTGGGTTACAAAGCAAGACTCTGTCTCAAAAACAATACAATAAGATGCAGTATAAATGCAGATGATCACATCCCATTTCCTAAACTGGCCGTGAAGCCTGCACAGGAGATCAAAAGTTAGAGTGCACTCCTAGGAAGTGTAGCTCAGTGGTAGTGTGCTTGACCAACAAGCCTGAGGTCCTAGGTTCAATTCCCAGAAGGAGGAAAAAGTTCAATGCGTCCTGGGATTGCCTGAGAACTGGGGAATCTCAAAGTGTATGTCATCTAGTGACACTTCACCAGTCTATGGAAAGTTCCCACGGCAAATGGGACGGTAGAGCATTAGTGTTCCCTCTGAAAGGGAACTGTCGTGCCCATTCCCACAAGGGCAGGTGGCGTCTCGAAAGGCAGGAAGCAAACACCGTATGAATGCTCACTGAACAAACCAGTGTATGCAGCTTTCTCTGACCAACTAGAGCCTGTCCAGAATTCTCCATTAAAGCTTCCTGCTCCGCTGTGGCTGTCCTAAACAAGGCAACGCGCATGTGAACACACACTCACACACATAGGAGCTTTTCTGAAATCCGACTGAAAGCCTAAGAGACTGGCTCAGTGGTAAGAGGGTTTGCTGAGCATGTATAAGGTCAGTTTTCAGCACTGGGCATATGAATGGGATGAGGGAGCATGAGAAGAAGAAAACCAAAGTCAAACATCCCTTAAAAGTAAGAGTTCCTTCTGGGTATGGTAGCATGTACCTGTAATCCTAATGTTTGGAAGTTAAGACACCAGAGAGTCACTAGTTCAAGACCAGCCTGGGGTTGGAAGGCAGAGGCAGGCAATCTCTGTGAATTTGAGGCCGGCCTGGTCTATACAGTGAGTTCCAGGACAGCCAGAGCTTAATAAGACCTTGCTGAAAGAGAGAAGGGGGGGTCCTAAGATATTCAGAATCTTATTTCATAAAATCAAAAAATACCAAACAAACAAAAATAAAATAAAAATCTGAGTTCCCTGAGGCATTGCACAATTCCAAAGCCTTTCCGATATTTAAAGCCTCTGAAAGCAGTGACTTTTTAATTTTAACTAAAAGTGGGGAAGGAATCTCTAAAGCATAAAAAGAAAAATATAGTTTAGAATATGTAAGTATGTATGTATGCATGTACATATATATTTGTGTGTGTGTATGTGCATCAAATGTATGTATGTATGGTGACCTTGGAGGCCAGAAGAGTGCATTCAGTCCCCTGGAACTAGAGTTGGGTTGTGGGCCACCAAATTGATGCCATATCATTGGTTAGAGCAGTCAGTGTTCTTCTGTTTTTGTTTTTTTAGATTTATTTATTTATTATGTATACAACATTCTGCCTCCATGTATGCCCGCATGCCAGAGGAGGGCGCCAGATCTCAGTACAGATGGTTCAGATGGTTGTGAGCCACCATGTGGTTGCTGGGAACTGAACTCAGGACCTCTGGAAGAGCAGCCAGTGCTCTTAACCTCTGAGCCATCTCTCCAGCCTGCAGTCAGTGTTCTTAACCACTGAGTTATCTCTCTAGGCCCTAAAGAAGAAATATTTTTAAAAGAAAGCCTTCCTACCTTTAACTTTGCAGAACAAAGTGGGGTGGGAAAGAAGGAGTAGATAAAAAGATCAGCAGTCTGGAATCAACTCTCTGCTGCCTGGCCTGACCTGACAGAAGTATGACCTTTCCCAACTCAGCCCAACGGAGTGGACTTCAGCTCTTGCTAGATCTGGGTGGGATAAAGGGTGTAGACCTTGGGCAAGGTAGACCAGAAGGCCTCCCACATCTGTTCAGTTCTAGCTTCCTATGAGCCTGTAGATAATACTTCAGATTTGACTGGGTGGTTGGTCTGCTTTACTGCACAAAGAATACACACCTATGTCAGGCCAGAGGGGAATACTCTGCCCCTGTGTGTTAAGTTTGAAGCTGCACAGTATGGCACAACTAGGAGTTTTCAGTTCTTTATTTTCATTTTTACAACAAAAAGGATAAACAAGCTTCTAGAAAATACCCAACCAACTAAGAAAATTCTCTACCTATCAACATTCAACTTGGCTCATCTACACTCCACAGGGTCACAAGAGACTCAGGCAGGATGTGCGCTCAAAGATTTAAAAGGGCTGAGGAGATGGCTCAGCTGGTGAAGGTGACTACTGCCAAGCCAGACGGAACCCAGAAACCACACAGTGGGCACTGATAACAGACACCTGTAAGCTGTTCTCGGACCTAGACTCTGCTCTCTCTTTCTCTCTCTTTAACACACACACATGCAAACTACACACAGTAAAATAAATACATGTACTTTTAAAAAAAAAGATTACTTTGATATACTAACAGTTATTATGAATGAATAGATTTTAACATTTTTAAATAAAAATTTACAAATGTACAATCACATGTAACTACTAACTCCAAGGACAAATGGAAGTGTTTGAACAAGCAACTCAACAAAAGTAATAATAATTAAAAAAAAAAGAAGAAGAATCGGGCATGGTAGTGCCACCTTTAATCTGAGCACTCAGGCAGCAGGTGGATCTCTGAGTTTGAGGCCAGTCTGGTCTACAGAGTGTTCCAGGACAGCCAGAGCTATATGGAGAAACTATGTCTCAAAAAAGAAAGAAACAAACAAAAACAACAAAAGAGAATTTATTAAATTATATGCCCACTTTCACACATATTCCCTAGTTTTGTTCCCCCCCCCCTTGTTTCAGGGAATACAAATCAAATGTGTAAGAGCGATGAATCACATCTGTTCAAATGCAGTACATTCACAACAAAGACTTGGGTATCTCCCCTTCTCAGTGTTCTAGCTGAGGATCTCTCTGACTCCTCGGGGTGGGTGTGGGTCCTCACGCACGCATTAGTGCCACGAAGACCGAGCTGTGAAAGATTGCTAAAGGACATCTAAGAAGAAGACACCACCCCAGCAATTTTTGATAATTGTTTATTTATTTTTAGAATTTATGCACATATGTGTGCGTCTGTGTGAGTATATGCTCGTTACATGTGTGAAGAACCTCACAGAGACCAAAAGAGGGCGCCAGATCCCCTGGAACTGGAGTTTCAGACAATTGTGAGCAACCACATGGGTGCTAGGAACTGAACTTCAGGCTTCTGCAAGAGCAGTAAGTGCTCTTAAACACTGAACCATCTGTTCTGGGTTTGTTTTTAAAGCAGCTGGATGTTCTGGCATGCACCTGTAATTCTAGCACTTGGGAGGCAGAGGCAGGAGAATTGTCACAAGTTTGCGGTCAGCCTAAGGTATACAGCAAGAGACCCTATCTCCGAAAAAGCAAAATAAACAAATGAAAAAATAAGTAAAACAAAAATCCATGATACCCAGAGAAAACTGGAAGAAAATACCCGTCCCTAACATGCTACAACAACCTACAGGATAAACCAACTCTGTTGTATTTTCTCACTTATGAATGAACCAGTTTATCACGCCTTATCTTTTTGTTTATAAACAGTAGGTGAACTGCCGTTAGCAACATCCAAGTGCTTCCTATGAAAGTCCCTGTGAAAAGTCGAGCATCGTCACTTCCTACCTAAAAGCAACTTAGAGCACCTGTGTGGATTCCTACGTGTGGCTAACCATGTACACATCCAGCCATGACATCCCCTTGTCTCTTCATATCAGTTTCTGCCACACATGAGCCTGTCTGTAACACACACTGTGAGGATATGGCAATGTGTGTGTGCCCTCAAGGGTTTGAGCTCACAACAGTACTACTAAGCTGCTTGGAGAGGTGAAACATATCCACATGAAGTATCACAGCGCCCGTAAAATTAAAGTTAGCATATTCTTACTAATAATATAGATGAACTATCAACTGCATACAATTTGCATAAATCACAAAACTTAAAAATAAATAAAACTATGCCATATGTTCAGTTAAAATGCAACAGAAATACATAAATAACAATCTAGTGTGTGAAGTTAGCACACCAGTGAAGGTGGAGGGAAGAAACGGTGAGGTTTTTTTAAAGGCCAGTATCACATGAATTCAGAAAAGGGAATTAGGGAAAAGGAAACAGTCTTGCTATTATTACCTGATCATGGCAACGAGAAAGAAGTGTGGCCTATGACAGTTTCTGCCAAGCCTAGAGAGGTCTGCAGAAGAAACTGCCGAGCCTGCTCACAGGAGACAAAGGTTCCGGCCCTAGCTCCTTAATTAGCACATCCTCTCTTGCCTTGGTTTTTCTACCTGTAACAGTGAAAGCTAACTCATGGCTAATACTCCTTTAGTAGACACTTCTGGCAATTCTTAGGTTGAAAAGCACATCCAGGCCCCAACCCACTTCCTTCGCCCCTGATAATCACAGTACGCAAACTAAATTATTGGTGAATCAGTGACTTTGATGTTTCTGTGCGTTCACATGATTTCTTTATTAAGAGTTATTGAAAATCCAATAGTCTCATTCATAGTTATGAAAACTGAGCACTGAACGGCCATCGCTTTTGCTCCATCTAACACTAGCCGTCTAGATGGGGTAATGTGGTCTGTTGTCTGACATCCTCACAAGAAGAGGTTTGGGGTGACTGTGGTTCACGATGGGGAATCAGGCCAAATAATTGTATCTGCGCTGCCTAGAGCTGGCTTCGAGCTGACTTAGCAACACTCAACTAAGACAGTCGGCATTTCTCCTTTAATGACAACCTAGACGACACTTAAGTACGACTTTTGTGCCAAAAGGCTAAGTAAATATCTTTTCTTCCTTTAAACCCGCGGTGCTGAGGGAAAGTAAAGAACTGGAGAGGAGACCTATGGGCTCTAACACCAAGAATATCAAACCATTTCTATTATCATTTCATGTTAGGAATTCCTGGCTTTCTGAATGTTAGGACTCTTATGGCCTAAGTCACAGCAATGGATTCTAACATCACCCAACCAAACACTAAACAATATAAGCTCTCTCCGTTCTCACATACTCTTTGGAAGTTACTTCAGTAAAGTGGGCAGCCTAACGAGGAAGAGAAAACACACTTCAGGTTCCACGAAGTTATTAAGATAAGGGAAGTGACAGGCACAAAAATTAAGCTGGGCACAGAGAAGTGTGCAAAGTTTTTCCAAATAATATTTTTGCTTGTCTCTAGCTCCGTGCTACAGTTTAAATTTGGGCCAACTTTTTAAAGTATTTGTTAAACAGTTCGCACATGTGGCATATGTTTCCAGGATACTTCTGACATTGATATGAGAAATTATAAAACATTTAGAAATGAAAATGTTAGTCTCAAAAATAACACTGTAAGTTCCAAGCTTCTTCTGAATTCGTTAAGACGGAAAAGCATTTGGAGAATGGTGTCTTTCTACTTTCAAGTGTTCAAATAATGGGCTTAACAACATCCCACAACAATGGGCCTGCGAGAGCCAAGGCAAAGACAAGACCAAATAAAGCCAGGTCCTGAAGTTTACTCTTGGTGTCACCGGTGTGTGTGAGTGGTCCCCGTCCTGTTTACTCCATAAGTAGACTGCTTTATCCCTTCAACTGGAAAGAATATCGTTCGCCCCATCAACACGATGACAACGCCACTGCAGGGCTCACCCAGGGAGAAACACATGAATAAGAAGTCGTGTCAACTCTCAATCAAGTCAAGTGTGAGCAAGGACTGATTCACAACACATTAATTCAGGAACTCAGCCGAGAGGCTCCTACTATACCTAGCCGATCTAAACTTGAGCTCGTGATAACACTGCACAAAGCTATGGTAGATGAAAGTGATAGGTAATGCCAACAGAACAATCCCACTGACAACACAAACTCCTCCAAGAATTCTTCCAGGCACTGTGATAGGATACATATCTCCATAGCCAACTGTAGTCATGGAGATAATCACCCACCAGCAGGCAGCGGGGATGCTGGCGAAGTCCTTGTTGGATGTTTCCAGGTCCAACCCGTGTTCAAGAAGCTGAGAAAGTGCACTAAAGATTGCCATGGCAACACAGATGAAGACAAGTAACATAACCATCTCTCGGTAGCATCGCTTGAGAGTCAAACCCAGCGTCTGCAGACCAATGAAGTGCCGGGCGAGTTTAATCACCCAGAAGATCCGCATCATCCGGAGCACCCTCAAGGTGACTCCAGCCCTCTGGAGCTGCGAGTTCTCGCCTGTAAACATTGTCATTAGCACAGAGATGTAATAGGGCGTGATTGCCAGCAAGTCAATGATGTTCAGGGGTCTCTTGACAAACTCACACTTGTTTTTGGAGACGATGAACCTCACGATGCACTCCGCGGTGAACCAGCCTATGCAGATAGCTTCAATTATCCTGTCATGAGAACAAAGGAAGAATTGATCATTTTATTTTTAAGCATTTTAATAGCTCTTAGATTCTTCACATAGTACTACACTGACACATTAAATCAGTCACTTTTTCCAGAAAACATGAAGAACAGACAATGGTAACATCATCAGACTTACCAGGACGCAACATGACTATAAGTACTACAGTGATAACTGAATTTCAAAAAGTTCTTATGCGCTAGCCTACAGGGAACACCGTTTAAAAGGAGGAGGGTTTTGGGTTTTCACCCATCATTAGCACTTGAGAAAAATCTCTCTCGTATTTGGTGGTGTGAACTTAGCTTGAATTGGTCTAACCATGTGAGATTTCACATATTCTTTGAAGACAATGGTCCCCAACTATAGGTCCATCAGCGGAGAGTGGGACAGGAGTGTTTGTTCCTAGAAAGTGAAAAATGTCCTAAAATGTGACTCTTCTACCCCCAGTAGGTTGTGTGGGAGACCCCGAGGCTGGGGAGCTCCTGGGAAGTTCTGGGTTCACTTCCCTCAATCTGGAAAACAGGCTAAGGACTCCTGGGCTGGACCAAACCACTATTGAGAGCTCCCCCAAAGACCCCCCCAAAGACCACAACTATTTGGTTTGTTACTTTTATAATGATTTTTATGCAGCATATAAGTTTAAGATTTAAGGTGGTGCACGTCTTTAATCCCAGCACTTAAGAAGCAGAGGCAGGCAGATCTCTGTGAGTTCGAAGCTAGCCTGGTCTACAGAGTGAGTTTCAGGACAGCTAGGGCTACACACACACACACACACACACACACACACACACAACCTGTCTTGAAACACCAAAAAGATTTATTTATTTTTATTTTATGTGTATGGGTGTTTGCCTGCACCACATGTGTGCAGTACCCGCAAGAGTCCAGAAGAGGGCATCCGATCTCCTGAACTGGAGTTACAGTCACCATGTGGGTGAGAGGAATCCAACCTGAGTCCTCTGGAAGAGCAAGTGCCATTATTTCTCAAACTTCCTATACCACTGCCCATGCTGAAATAATATTTGCAGAGCCACTTAGAGGTAAGGGGGCAGGCTTCTTAGAAGAAGTTGCCACTCGAAGCCCCCCATATGTTCTCTAAGGCTGAAGATATTCGATTTTAGCATAGTGATTAGGAAACTCTGACCTGGAAGAACAGCTAATCCAGAAACAACTGTAGACTGACTTAAACATTTTAACTCCAAGTCCAAGGTACTGCTGGTATCCATCATTCACTCTTCACACGTAACCAAGGAAGCGGGTAGAAGGAGGCAGACAGCACAGTATAAAGAAATAGTCTCAGTTCATACCACAGGAGCCAAGCTGCCCTGGGTGGCACGTGAACACGAGTAAACACAATTAACCGGGCTTCCTTACTGCGTGGCTTTCTGGGGCCGTGAAGATGAACTTTATTCATTTTTACCTATTTTTTGAGTAAGTATTCATCTTCACATGGTTCAAAGCTACAAAGTGGTGGTACACGCCGCAGTCTCGGGACTTGTGGAGTGGAGGCAAAAGGATCAGGAAATTACTACTTGCCTCTGCCACATAGCAAGTAGGAGGTCATCTGGGCTTCATAGAACCATACCCACATTCCCCCCCCAAAAAAAAAATGCAAAAGAAGAATGCAGAAAGGAAAATCTCAGCAAGGTATGATGATGTGTGTCTGTAGACTCCAGGAAACCTCAGCCAGGCATGGTGATGCGTGGTAGACCCTGGAAAGTCTCAGCCAGGCATGGTGATGCGTGGTAGACCCTGGAAAGTCTCAGCCAGGCATGGTGATGTGTGCCTGTACACCGCGAAGTTTGGATGCTGATGAAGGAGAATCACTATAGTTCTTAAGTTAAGGACCAGTCACAGGGAGCCTCTGAAAGAGTCGGGCGGTCTCACTCTCATCCTATTCTCAAGCCTCCCAATTACCCTCCCTGGAGGCAAGAAATACAGTAGATTCTTATAAATCCTTACAGAGTTACTTTATGTATGATACAAACACATAATACCCATACTCTCAGCACCTCTTGGGGGTCATTTCTTTCAGGCCAGTGAATAAGTTTTCTCAATGGGGGAGTGGGAAGAGTATACGTATGGCTGGGTAGGTGCATGCATTCACGTGTTTATATATTACTCTCTGCCTTATGCCCTTGAGACACTGTCTGTCACTGAACCTCCAGCTAGGACAGAGGCCAGCAAGCCCCCTCGCTCCTGTTTCTGCCCACCCCAGCACTAGAATTACTAGTGCACAACTATGTCCAGCTTTTTACATGGCTGTTGGGGTTTGAACTCAGGTTTTTACAGCAAATGCTTTTACCCACTAAACCAGTGGTTCTCAACCTGTGAGTCGCGACTCCACAGGGGTCACATATCAGATATTTAGACTGAGAGAGCGCTAAGAAGAAAGGGGTGGGGGTCGCCAGCCTAGTGCAGAGGAAACAGGACATTGAGGAGGAAAGGTAAAAGCCACGAACCACGCAGCGGCATGTAGATAAATAAAAACGGGTTAATTTAAGTTATAAGAGCTAGTTAGAAACAAACCTAAGCTAAGGTCAAGTTTTCATAATTTGTCTCTGTCATTATTTGGGAGCTGGCTGGCGGGACAGAGAAAAAGATTCATTACAATGCCATACACTAAGAAAAGTGACACTCGAGGAGAATTATGAGTTCCGGGACAACACGGGAAACATGGTTGAGATCCTGCCTCCAAAAAAAAGGAAATGGTGGTGAGGGAGACAGAGGGGCGAGGTGGGGAGGGAGGACATACACACTAGGGATGAAGAAGCTGGGCATACTAATATCAGCAACTGAGGGCAGAAGGATCAGGAAGGGGGTTCAAGGTCAACCTATCTTAAAAGCAACACAAACTTAATTTTTTAAAAAGCTTCCTTATTTCTTAAACATGGTTCCACAGAATGCCTGTATGTTTGTATAAAACCAGTTCAGGCAGTTCCCTGGGACATTAGACAGTTCTTAATCTCTGGCTCCCCAAACTAGGGCGCAACTTATACTGTACATGTGTTGTGTGCTTCATATTTTTATTTATTTATTTTATTTTTTTTTTTGAACAGGCTTTCACACTATAGCCCAGGCTGGTCTAGAACTCACTGGGTAGCTTGGGCTGGCTTCAAACTCACAGCAATCTTCCTGTGTCCGCTTCCTTAGTTCTGTGATTCCCAGTAAAGGCTACTAAGCCCAGCCGAATCTCCTTGCTTCTCATCAGTTCCCATTTTTTTGCAAATATAACTGTAGGATAAATCCTAGACTTGGGAGAAATTTCTGCTACATCTGCCCAACCATTCCCACAGAGGTTATACTACACGGCCCTCCCACCAGCAACACAGGCAGTACCCACAGCACCCCAAAATGTAGCAGCATGGAACTTGGAGATCTCAGTCACTCTGACAGATGGGAGCCACAGTCTTGCTTGAAAGGGTACTGAGAATACCTTTATGTGCTATTTTCTGTTCCATGACCTACGCCACTTGCCCCAGGCCTTTAATCTCCTAGCATACATGATGGAGACACCACAGGTACCACAGGGCATGTGAAGTATTAGACCAAGTCAGCTTACTTCTCCATCTTGGAAAACTGTCCACGGCTTTGCCTATAAATGTGTTTGTCCTAAGAGGCAACAAGCTACGGTCTGCGATCTGAATCCATTCAGTAGTCCTTTTATTTTTCTTTCACATGACATGTTTTTAATGGATGGAAGAAAAATGAAAGAAAAAGAATTATAGCCTATAACATGAAATCACCGCATGAAACTGGACTTCCTGTGGCCACAGTCTTACTGGAATGCAGCCAAGCTAGCTTACATCTTCTGCTTGTGGTTGTTCCCATGCTGCAATGGCCAAGTTGAGTGAGTGGTCGTGACGGCACTAAGATGGCGTTGCAAGGCCCCATCGGGCCTCAGGACCTTGGCTGCCTCTTTTGGAATGAACGGCAGTGTTTTCAGCTCACCACACAGTCTCCAAGAGACCAGCAAAAGAATCCTAATGCCCTGAAGAGGGAGATGAGCAGATGACGTCACAGCTGGGCCAGCCATTTCTCTACTGTGGGTACGCGGCTCTACTCATGGGCTTTCTGATTGACCGAAGCATTCCTGTCCTCACTAGACTACTGGAGGCGGCTGTCATGAAGACTTCAGTAAATCTGGGGGCTGAGCAAACTGGGCGGGTCATAAATCTTGGAAGAGATGAGGAAGCGGAAGGAACAGGTTTCAAATGCACTCTTTGAAGAAGCGTAACATCTCTTCTACCTAGTTACACATTCCGCACGTTCCCCATGCTTCTAGACTCCTTGGGGCTAGGCAGGGTCATGTGACCTGCTCTACCCAATGGGCAATGAGGACAGGAGTATAGAGGAGGAGGTGAGCTACTGTGGTAGCCAGGAAGCCATATACTCTAATGGTCCAGCATGGATGGTGGGGTCTCTACTAGCTCTATTCTCTGACTCACTGTGCACAGAGCATAGGCACTCTCCACCCTGACCCAGACTGGACACAGTAAGTGATCAATAACTAAATCTTTGCTGCGTTGAGCCTCTGGTACCTCTACCTCGCTTGCCATCCTAGGTCGGTAATAAACCAGTGAATCCAGCAAGCAGTAAACTGTGCACTCAGAAGGAACTCCAAGAAGACAATGTAATAACAGAGAGCCATCTAAATCTGAAGACCAGAAATGAGAAATACTCAAGAATCTGGATTTTTCTAAGCTTCAACATGATGGTCTACATGGAAAATGCCATACCTGAACACATGAGTCAGGTCACAGTTAAAACAGAAGAATGCTAAAAGTATCGTAAAAGATCACCTCCAGGCTATGTGCACAATGTATAGGAAACATAAGTGAATTCTGGGGTTACCCTTGATAACTTATTACATGTATGGAAATGGAGAGAGCACACCTGAAAGCTGAGCCACCTCTGGTCTCGAGCATGTCAGGTACAAGATTGACAACCTGTAATGACTTCAGTTCGTACAGTTGCTTTTGAACA